AGTCAATTACCAAAATTTGGATGATTTTGAATATTCACTTGAAAAGTTATCAAAGAAAAACCTTTTTCATTTTGTAACTTCGAGGGCCCGTAACTTGGTTACGAAGACTTTTAGGAAAAAAAGTTATATGAAGTACTGGTGATATTTTGACCCCATCTATACATTCCCGAGAGGAAAAGAGGAAGTCCAGGGACACCCTGTATATAGAAGAAGCTAAAAAGTCGAGTATACATGGATATTTCAAATATTTTTGAGAAAGACGAAGACTAACTGAGCGATAGTTTTCCATCATAGTCGGGTCCCCTTTTTCAAAACTAAGTTTAACCAATGCTAGTTTAAGGCTGTCTGGGCTGTCAATATTCTAGAGAATTGTTTATTATATAACAGAGAAGCATAGCAATATTACATATGTTAAGGCTAGGGATCTCAATGTTTTCAAAAGTTCAATTTAATGTTGTTTGTATTGACATGTGTTAAGACTAAATAGTATTGGGATTCTCCAACGAATGATTAAACTTTTTTCAGAAGAAGAATAACATCACCTTCTCCGACGAAGAGCGCACTCAATTCCTGCAGCGTGTTCTGCTAGATTTTTTGGCTGTCAATGCTCAAAATGACGAAGCGTACAAGTATGCACGTCACTTCTATATCAGCCAGTGGTATAAGGAAGCTGTTGCCGAGAAAACGCAAATTGCCATCGGTGAAAAGAAAAACAACCACAGAGCGAAGAAGTATGTTGAAAGCGAGGATTCCGATAGCGAAAAGGAGGAGAAGAAGAGCAAGAAAGCATCTGCTGACCAAGAAAATGCTGAACGTTTTCAGTTAATCGAAGACAGAAAAAAGTTTCTATTGAATAAGATCAAACCATTTCAAGAAACGATGTGTTCTGGAAATCGTGTTCAAGTTTTTCAGACCTACATTGATTACAACAGTGCAGAATTAATTGCTCAATTTCTAGCATCAAAAAGATATTTCTCGCAAAGTTTCGATCAGTATTTAAAAGCGGTAAGTTGTTTGGCTGCTTTGACCTTCATAAAAACTCAATACAATTCTTTCAGATTCTCATTGTTTTGAAAGAAACATCAATTGCTATTAGGACGAAAGCAATGAAATGTTTAACTATGATAGTAGAAGCAGATCCCTCAGTATTGGGGAGACATGATATGCAGATGGGAGTGAATCATTCTTTCCTTGATCACTCAACGTCTGTTAGAGAGGCAGCTGTCGATTTGGTGGGCAAATTCGTTCTGAGTCGCCCCGAACTCATCAACAAATATTACGAAATGTTATCTGCTCGAATACTGGATACAGGTGTGAGCGTAAGAAAAAGGGTAATTAAAATATTGAAAGACATATGCATAGAATGCCCTGAGTTTCCAAAGATCCCCGAAATATGTGTAAAAATGATTAGAAGGGTTAATGACGAGGAAGGAATCAGAAAGCTAGTCATGGAAGTGTTTCAGAATATGTGGTTCACTCCAACGAAAGATACCTCCCTGTTGAGGAAAGTTGTAAATATTACCGACGTTGTAGCTTCTTCTAAAGAAATTGGATTGGAATGGTTCGAACAACTGTTGCTTAGTGTAAGTATCACTTTAATTTGCAAATTCCAGAAATGACTCTGAAACTTTATTTTTCAAATATATAATACCAATAGATTACCAGCTACTGCATTACCCCTTAGGAAGTTCGGAAAATATATACAGAGATTGAAGATATTCTGAACTTTCAATGCCTTTTGCTCCAGATAGATCTTGTGTCAACTTATCTCCTGAGTTTGTATCATTACTCTGGAAATTTCGGGGATTTTCATTCTTTTTGTATCGGCCAGACCAGAGTCTGGCTGATTCAAATATGGTCTTGGTCGTGTGTGTAGTTTAAAATAGATTTTTCCGTTTTGAATGATAACCTTCAGAAGTCAAAACTTTGCGATAATGAATTATTATTTAATTTCATAGAAGTCGAATTGTTGATGAATAGAAAACCAATTACAATGTGATAGTTTATTATATATCTCACTTCGCTGAGAAAGTTAAAATAATTTCCATTTCTGCGAATCTCCAAAGTATATTACATATCAGGTAATTCAACGATATTGAAAATAAAGCTGACACTTAACCCCTACAGAACAAAGTTTATTCGCTTGTATACAGTCTTCAAAAATGAACTTATAGGCAAAAAATTTAGTATATCTGCAGAAACAAGTTTCGAGCAATTTTGAATACTAAAATGAAAATATTTACACAAAAATCACAATCAGTGTACCAAGTTTTTTAAATTGTGGACGACAACCTTCATCAAAATTTGAATTCATTTCATATTCTTATTGCCTTTTTTTTGCATTGTGAGAACTTAAGCAATATGTGCAGATCCACCCATATGACATAGTATTGTGAAAAAGAGATGTAGGTTATGAGAACAACACTTTCATTTACAATATACTTGACATTTCTGAAGAAATACACGCAGCTAGCTCATTTATTTTTGATTTTCATTATTTGATTCTCACAAGTCAGATTACAATCTAATGTTACCCCTAAACATTTTACTGGTAAATTGTCCTTCAGACTTAACTTCTTATTCAGAGTAAAGAGTAATGTTTGTGTTTTATATTCATGAAATAATCCTGAGCATCTCTCAAAGCGTTTTTTTACTCTCAAAATGATCAAAGTTTTCCGTTGAGACTATAATATGGTATCATTAAGGTATTAAACATGTGTCGACACCAAGTTGAGTAATGTCGTCAACATAAATGGAATGGCTTCAAGGCTTGATCCCTGGGGAACAAAATACCCATGTAATTTCCATTTGAGAAAATACAATGAAATCATCCTGTCAGGTGACTCTAAACAAAAGAAATAAAATTTCCCCTGATATCATAACTTTTCAATTAAATTAGAAGAATTTCATGTGACATACAAAAGCTTTGGAAAAGTTTAGTTGTAGTAATAGTGAATTCCAAACTGTCTTTAAGTTGATTTTTTTTTGTAGTTATTTAAGCCAAAGGAAGACAAAGATGACTCAACAAAAGTCGCAACTGAACCTCCCAAAGCTTTGCTTCTTGCTTGTCGTCAGATAGTAGATTGCCTGATTGAAAACGTACTAAGCCTCGAAGAGAGCACAGACAACAGTGGCTCTTCCCAAAGACTTGTAGCTTGTCTAACCACCCTCTATTTGTTTGCCAAAATAAGGCCACAGCTTCTGGTCAAACATGCCAGTACTTTACAACCCTACCTTGGTTTGAAGTGTCAGACTGCTGGAGACATAGAGATAATCAGTAGCGTTGCCAGAATGTTGGAGTTGGTCGTTCCATTGATGGAACATCCTAGTGATTCATTCCTGGCACAGCTGGAAGAGGATGCCATAAAACTTGTGTTACAGCACGATCGGCCAATAGTCAGCAGTTGCTTGTCATGTTTGGGTTCTATCATCAACAAGGTCACCCATAACTATAAGCTTATTAGGGATTGCTTCAAAAAGTATTATGAGTATTTGATAAGGTATAAAAACTGGGTTGAGATGGACTACAGGATGTGTCAGGAAGTGAAATATCGGGGATTGTTCAGAAGAGCTCTTTTCATTGTGGGTCTTTTGTTGCGCTTTTTTGATTTCAAAGATCCAGAGGTCTTGGGAGACATGTCTGTGAGTATATTTGTGAATACAAGTTTATTCTTTTTACTCTCTGAATTTTTTCAGCCTGAAACAAAGGATGAAGTGTATCAAACCATGACATTTTTCTTACAAAGGGACGATATAGATATTCAAGCCAATACATTGAAAGCTATTGGTAGTATCTGCATAAGGCATTATGAGTTCATGCTGGAGAACGAATTGAAGCTTTTTTACCACAGGCAATTGACTTCCGAAGATGCTCCTCTAAGGATGAAAGTTGAAGTATTGATCAACATTGAAAATTATCTTGTGGAGGAGGAAAACAGGATGATTCAACAGGATTTAGAATGTGAGTTCACTTGAAATTCCAGCCCATTTTCTCATGTGACTTCATTTCAGGGTCCAAACAATCAAAGAAGGAAAACTTGAAGGAAATGGGTGATGTATCGTCTGGAATGGCAAGTACAGTTATTCAGCTCTATTTGAAAGAAATCATGCAGTCCTACATACACTGTAACCTACAAGTTCGTCAGCCAGCGCTAAGAGTTATACAATTAGTCCTCCAACAGGGTTTGGTGCATCCAGTACAGATAGTGCCATATTTGATATGTATGAGCACAGATTGTGAGAAGTTAGTGTCGCATAGTGCGGATAAACAATTGTTAGACATAGAAAAGAAATATCCGGGGTTTATTCACGCCAAGTCATCTTTAGGAATAAGATTATCTTATCAGTTACAAAAAATACTACAGAACGATTGTATTGTTAGGGGTTCTCGGGTTAAAGAACAAGGTGAATATCCGAGTGCGTTAAACAGTTATTTGTACTCTATACTTCGTAGTTCCAGACAACAAAGACGTGCCTTAATACTTAATATTCTGAAACAATTTGACGAACAAGCTGTAAGTTACGTTATTTTTTTTGCAACCCAAACCAATGTCTCCATTTATATTTCTGTTACAGCGTACCACCTTATCATATATGTTGTACCTGGCGGATAACCTGGCATATTTTCCGTATCAAGTTCAAGATGAGCCTCTTTTCATCGTTCATCACATCGACATTATGATCTCAGTGTCAGGAACAAATTTACTTCAGTCATTTCGAGAGGTACGTTACATACAATCATTCAAATGATTGGGATAAAAATGTGATCATAATTGTTTTGACCACACATTGGGCTACAAAAACATGATCTTGCAAATATTAAAGATTCATTTTCTATAAGAGTATCCACTCTATTGAATCTGAAGGTACCACGGTTAATAATAAATACTTTCAATAATAAGTACAACTATGATATTTTGAATGAAAAAGTCTCCAGAAATACAGTTGATTGTAATTTTGGTCATATAATCTGCAACTTCAATGATTTCTTGCGACTGAAACTTTCCTTTGTCGTCTTAAAACCAGTATCAATTGATATGGTACTAAACATTATAAATCCAAATGGGACTATTAATTTCCAATATATCGGTATTGCCATGCTCAGAAAAAGTACTTGAGTCAACTGTTCACAATCAAGTTATTAATTATATAAATGTTTTTTTTTTTCTAAAAAGACCTTTGAAGCTATTGATATCCACTTTACTAACAAAACTATGTTGTTACTATGGTTTAACTAACCAAGTATATAACTCTTTTGCAAGCTACCTACAGAATAGCTACTTACAGGACAGATAACACTTTTCAGATAACACTGAATATCAGAAAAACCAAATCATTGGTTATAAGTACAATTTGTAATAAAACATTTGAATTGGTGAAGATTTTGAGTATCCTGGATTTATGATAGGAAATAACTTCCTGAAAACTCACTTTCATTTAATGTATAACAAAATTTTTATTTGAATATATGATAGAATTGGGCCGATACTTGATGAAAATCCATAACTAACTTATTCAAAAAACACTTTATTGTGAGATTTGCACTAAACACCATAATTGAAAATCTCAGAATGAAATGATTTTTGAATACGTTTGTGATTTGAATATTTTTTCACAAGTTTAATAATCTGAAACTTTTCTATCAGTCTATAATTAATCGATTAATTATGTAATAGTTATTATTAGAATTTTTGTATATTAAGATTTCTACTTCAAATAAATATTATGGAGATATAATATGTTGAACATTTTATCACAAAACATTTAAGAAACAAAAGATAAAAAATATCTTCACTTTCATGAAATTAATTTTTGTTCAGAAAATTTTTCACCTTTTTTGGAAAATTTGACTAAAATTGTCAACACCACCTGGAAAAGTTCCACACTGCTATATTATTTTATCTTGGAGTTTCTGATTCTTTTGTCACATATCACTTCCTTTTTTTTTTCAAAGAATTCGTAAGTTCTATTGCCTAATAATGCTTCATTATATGAGTCTGGCAACGATTTTTAGGGCAATTCTATGTTTACGCTCCGGATTTTCAAAAATATCTCGGACGAAGCAACTAAAACCTTTGAAATTCACAGGCGTTATTATTCATACAACAATGAACCTATCCCCAAAACTTTCAGCTTTATTTAGCGATAGGCAAAGCAACATTCCCTTGTCTTTGTTCTTGTATTTTCTTTTAGTGTATTCTGAGTTCATCAAAATCTTATTAGTTTCTCTCTCATGTGACTTTATGAGAGTACTTAGAAAGGTTCAGAAAGTGCTCCCACATCAAGATCATTTGATTGTTCTCTACTAGCTACGTTTTGCACTCTCAAATCAGCTTTACTTGATTATAGTTTTTTCTTGGTTGGCTGAAAGGGTGTAGATGCTTCTTCCAGAGCATTCCTGAACACACGTCTCAATAGCAAAAATTTAGATTTGTAAGTAAGATGTTGGTGATACCAAGAGTTTGGAAAGATTCAATCTTGGTCCTGTAGCTCTCATACTAACCCTTTCAGTTCACTGATAGGAGCACTCATTCCAGCTTTTGATTATGTGTTTCTGAATATTTGTCAGAGTTTTGAAGTGTCCTCATCGTTAGGTTAGGTTAGGTCCAAAGTGAGTGGGTCTATTCGACCCTCCACCGCAACCCGCAAGGGTTTATTGTGGCTCACACTTATTCACACTCGACCAAATAAACCCAGCTTCTTAACGTTTCGGAAACGAACGAAACGATTAGTTTGTATGGTGAGTGGTCAGAGAATGGTTCTGCCGAACTCTAAAAACCTGATTCGGTCCCCAGCGGGGCAGGCACAAAGTATATGCTCTGCTGTTTCATCGTTAATGAGGTAGTTGGATAGTCAAGGTGCAAGATTCCCACCTTGATACCCGCGACAACCTTCTCCCATGTGAGGGTTTTTGTACGTCAGCTATACCTGACGATGCCTTAGATTCAACTGTGCAGGGCTTTTTCGCCTCTGGTTTTGGTGAATCATCACTTGGCGCAAACGTTTGCTAACCTGCTCATGGGGGGTCTGTTTCTCTACTTGAGACAGATTCTGCGTACGCCGCTCAATAATTTGGTGCAAGACATTTTCATAAGGTACCCCGCTCTTGAGGAGACGACTCAGGCGTTTCCTGGCTGCACCACCAAACCTTTTTTTAGGTTCAGTTATTGGATCAGGAGTTGGAGAGTTGAGAAGCTCACGCTCCTAATCTAAATTTACAGGGAGGTCAGTTGGAGGCGTAAGATCGACATCCATCTCCTCTGTAGACGCAGCGTCAGAAAGAATTTTTAAGTTTACCCTGTCCATAAAAGTCCCATGAATAGCTAGGGAAAGAAGTTCAATCACGGCAGAGCCCCGGATTACCGTGACAAGGCAATGCTACGACGAAAGGGCGCCCGGTACCTCGAAGGTTCCGTAGAGACAGCTGATAGGCTCAGTGTCATTCATCCTCTCGGCATGGATACACACACCTTAGGATTAAGCCATCGTTGGAATGCTATTCAGTTAGGGAATAACAGAACCACTAGTGATTCTGTCATTCCAGTATCCAGCAGGGGTACGTGGAAGCAGGTATCCGATGGCCAGTTTGCTCAACCCCCACATCCCAAGCCAACGCACTCGCCAAAAACGGCATGTACAGTGGTTCAGGCAGTGAAAGATGAACAAGGACAGCCAACCCGTCCTCATCGTGCTTGTCCCTAATCAAGACGGCTATGACATCAATATATCTTTTAGTCACGAAACTATATTTGTGCAACGTCATTACCGGGTTGTTGAAAACTAGCGATCGTCTAGGAAAGAACTTAATCCAAGTCTCTTTAATAATTTTCAACCCGAGATAAACTACCACTTCAGCCATCTGATTAGGCAGTTGTAAAAGGTGTTAACAAAAGTACCGTCGAATGAATGAAGGCACATCAAGCTGAGCCTTAGTAAAGTAATATGCCATTCTGAAATGTGAGAAAAAACATCTTCAACAGATTTATTTTATCCCAGAGGTTCTGCTGAGAACTCCAAACATAGAATTGATAGAATCTGGAACAGAAACTTTGGGTATTACCCATATAAGAAATAAATCTGTCCTAAGAAAAACAATTTGTTCGCAGGGTTTGATATTATCTGAAGGTCAAAATAAGATCTTGGATAGCGATAATAGTGAAGCGGTGAATGTTGTATCTGCTCTCGATGAAGACGATGATGATGAAGAAACGTTAGTATCTCGTGTACCTGAAGACACAAGCAATCTGCAAGCTTGTATAACAGCGGCTCAAGGTTGTCTGCTCCTGCTAATGCTGAAACAGCATATAAAAGATATTTATGGTCTCAGTGATGGGTGAGTACTGTTCAATGTTTTATCAATGAAGACTTAATCTAATCTTACATTTCATCAGCAAAATACAACAGTATTCGCCATCTGAAGCAGCTAAAGTCTATGAAAAAGCAATACAACGCAGATCCAATGCTCTCTTCAACCCAAAGGCAACGGTGCAGAAGCTCAAAGAAGGGAACCCGCCAGAATATTTGGACGAAGAGGGAAGGCGGGATATCATTCGCCAGTATGTGGATGTGAGTATTGATTTTTTTAAAATGCTTTATTGTCATAGGAAAAATTATTTTTGACATCGTCTGTACAATTATGAAATTTGTAATATGAAAAATAAATAAGAAAACATTCAATACAAAGATAGGATAACACCATTATCTATAGACAAATTGCTCAAACTAGTAAAGCTTTAAAGAGTGCATTGACTAGTACATTTGTAATAATGTTAAGTTCAAGTAACAGTATTTCATGACTACCATAGAGTGAAATGCTCAAGTTCTGCTGCTGCTTCAACCTTACACTATTTTTTTGGGGTATGTTGCAAGTCATATTGATTATATGTTTATATATCCCCTTATGAAAACTCGAACCTTCTTCATCCATAATAAAGAAGGATCCTCCTTGAACGTTTGTTCTAATGCTAAGTTTCGACATCGACTGCCGAATGAGAAATCGCTTTTTGTCTTTTTCTGCATCTTTTACATCAAGCGGACAATTAGATGAAAACAAAGCAATTTTCGATCCTATACTCTGAAAAGTTATGTTAGCTATAAAATATGTCTGATACATGAAAATGAGATGTGTTCTACTGAGAGAGATCTCTTGTATGAACTGAGACAATCTCCAATCGGAAGATGAAGATGCCAACTTGGTTGGTGAAACACGTGTCGAGAAAAGTGGTGGTGAAAAGTGTTTGTTTTTGGATTCATTCTACGCCAGAGGCTCCAGTTTTACCCTTATATTATGAACTCAGAAATATATAACTATTTCTTATACATAATCTTTTTCAAAACCCAACTTGATGAATGATTGAAGGGGAAGCAGTTTGGGAACTTGAGTATGGTCTCTTGAAATCAGAAAAAAATAATTTTGAAATGCATTCACAAGAAGAATATAAAATGTATACCAATTAACTGTAAGAAGTTAACACAAACATTATTTTCTGCTGTGGATTCTTTATCTGTTCAACTTATTAGTCTGTGGTGGAGAAGATAAAATTACTGATTTTCTTTGAACCAAAAATTAACAATCTCTATCATACTATTATTTCTAATACTTCCATACAAATTCAACATTTTTTATTTTATATTATTCCCCAATGAAATTAGTTGATCTCTTTTGAAAATGGTTCTGATTTTGTTTATTTTTAGTTCAAACAATTAATGCTGCAACTTGACCCTGAGGATCCAGATGATGAAGAAAATGCCCCGAAAGTGTTGACAGCATTAGCAACCACCAATGTAAATCCTCCCAACCAAACTGGAGCTCCTTCTTCGATACTTACGGAGGCTGATCAAGTAGCACTTGATAATTTCAAGGTAAAAATGATTATTTTATTGTTTATTCTTCAAAAACTTTGATGAAGTTCAGTTGATTGTTGTTATCTTTACAAAATAACACTAGGACTTAAAAATAAACAAGCACAAACATAAAAATATACTCGTGGAAATGCACATTTACATAAGTTATCGATTTAAAGTGAACCATTTAACATGTTTTGGAGGTTATGTTGGTTTGTATAGATTAAATGGTTATGTTTAGTTTTATATGCACGAACATCCATATGTCTAGGAAAATTTGTGTTGATATTTTTTTAACACGCTTTTATTAGCTTCACCTCTGTGTATGTATGTTTGTTTATAACTCTCCTTGCTTGATCTATTCGCGGCGAGATGGCGCTTTACGTAACCTCCTTGATTTATCGACATTATTGCTTGATCAATTCGCGGGCATATGGCGCTGTACGTAACCTCCGTGATATAATGGCACAAACGTGGGCGCTTTGTGCCATTTTTTTTTATATCAAGCGCCCGTCGCTTTTTTCACAATAAAACTAGTATTTTTCAATCGTTATTTTAAAAAAATATTTTTAACTTTTTAGCTCGATGTTCTTTAAAAGCGTAGTTTTTGAAACTATATTTATTTAAATAACAAGCAACTTCCATCGCCTACAGGCAAGCCAAAGGTAGAACCTCTAATTGGTTTATAAGCTTTATTCTATACCAGGTATAGCTTCTGTATTGATGAATAATTACATTTTTTTCATAGAGTAATATAGACTAATAATGGGGAACCCTTTGAGTCCCCTGCTGGCGGAAATTTTCATGGATGACATAGAGTATGAAATCCATAATAATCAGTTAGCTAACAGTTTTTTGTACTGGTGTACAGATACGTAGATGATATCTTAGTATGTTTTACTGGTACAGATAGGCAATTAGGCAAGTTCATTGAATATGCCAATTCCATCCACTCGTCAATAAAATTCACCACTGAGAGGGAGGTAAATAATTCAATAAATTACCTTGACTTAACCATTACGAAAAATAACAATAAACATGAATTTGCAATTTTCCACAAACCATCTTACACGGACATTATCATACATAATTCCTCCACACACCCTTACCAGCATAAAGTTGCTGCATTCAATAGTATGCTTCACAGATTATTGAATATCCAACGTCTGAGAGTAATTTCCAGAGAGAGCTGAGTTTGATCAAACAAATCGCGGTTAATAACGGTTATAAGGTAGATATTATAAACGCCATTCTTTCCAAAAAACTACAAAAGCAAGCCATGGATCTGGTCTACCCATATTCAAGATGCGATAACGTCAGTTATAGGATATTGGCATATTTGGGTGAACCAACCAGGAATATTGCCGGTTTTTTGATGAAAGAAGGCGTAAACGTAGCTTACAGAATGAATAATAATCGAAGTAAATTTATTAAAAACAATAAAGACAAAACTTCGGTGTCGGATAGATCAAGAGTATATAAGCTGACTTGTGGCTCTTGTCCAAAACTGTATATTGGCCAAACAGGAAGAACATTTTCCCAAAGCATTAAAGAGCATAGAAGTAGTTTTGTGAATAGAAAGACCAATTCCACATTTGCAAACCACCTTTTAGCAGAAGGACATGAGTTCAATCATGAATAAATCGTTTTGTATAGTTTTCTTATGCATTTTTTTATAAATTGTAAATCAGGGGATAATAAACATCAAATGGACATTCACTCCTGCCATTTGATATGATTATGAACCAAAAATGTTCGTTATGCGCTGCTGCGCTTGTACTGGTTCTTTTTTCAGTCGGATCGTTTTCAGGGTGATTCGCAGATGCGCCTGAATATGTTGGTTTAATTTTAGACTAGCAGCTTCGGTAAATTAGACTGGAAATTTAATATAGCGGGACTACTCATTATTTATTATGTGATCATTGACAAGAAGAAACCATTCAAGATATGTAATTTAAGTTCGTTATTTTTATACAGAAACCTACTTAACTTCATTTGTTCATCGCCCGATTAGGCTTAGTACACCTTCAAGCACTTCATTGAAATGGCCTAAAATTTGGATGAGGGTGCGTTAATTTTTATGTGAACTAAATGGATGGGTGTTCACTTTTAAGGAGTTGGTTTCTAACAACTCTCAAAGGAAGTTAGACAGTGCTCTCTTCAGGGTATTACACACCTATATGTTGGGTTAAGTATTGAATAGTTGGCTACTGTTATGTTTCATGTGCATGAGAAAAAAATGTTTCCTACTTCCGGAAAAAATATTCCTGCTCTAACTTTAATGAATAAGATGACCTTTACACCTGTTCACCTATTTTTCATTTTTGCCTTTATCTATGAAACTGAACGAGATTTTATTATTACACTAGAACTCCAATTAGTCATTTTAACATAAATTTTTAGAGCATCCGTCCCGCCAAATTCAAAATGAATTCAGGAACTAAGCATGAGTTTTAGTTCCTCATTTTGAATAGTATATTTTGTATTTATTGATGTTCTAGTCTTTGAACGAGGACTTTCATATTTAGTTGAATAGAGGATTGTTTCAAAAATATATCCAAATTATAGGCATTCATTTCAAGTGTGATAAAGTGTGCAAATGCTGTTTTTGATTTTAAATAATGTCTCAACCTCTGCTAAGGATATATCTTGGAATACCAATGAATCAACTGAATTTGCCCTACCAATTTTTTATTTTTTGTACTGTTTAACTAGCCTGTTTTAAATTTAGGATTCATATTCCACAAGTAAAAAGTATATTGAAGGTCTAGCATAAAAGGACTTGAATTTAAAGTTCTATAATAAATCAGTTCTGAAGCTAATTGGATGACTCAAAGCAATTTTCTAAGTTTGTTGGCCGTGGTCTGCAGGTTTATATGCGTGATGTTTCGTCAACAACTGCGGCAGACATCAAAGGTGATGAGACAACAGGCGGTGGTGGGCGTGGCTTCGTCCTATTGGTTGCATCACTTGACTTGATACCTGTGTAATTTATCGTAGGTAGCCAGACTTTATTTATGTTAACTTCTTCCTTCTGTTTGAAGCTTTTTCTGAATTTCGGTTGCCTACCTATATAGTCTTAGGTAGTAGCTCTGAGTTCTGTTGAGCATTTGAGTCTCTTCGAACACGATAACTTGGGTGCCGTCTCTGAGAGCATGTTCTGCTACTGCTAATTTAGCGACAATGTCTCTTGTTTAAAGAGTATAAACATTCACGGCCAGATATACCGGTGTCAAAGCTATTTTCCAGATTTGTAGGCCATGATCTGCAAGTTTTATGCCAGACGTTTCATCTACGACTGCGGTAGACATTAATAAAGGTTAACTAGTTTAGTTATCCAAGAATTTTTCTGAAAAAAGGTTTGATGGGTAACAGGATAAATTTTTTCTTAAAAATAGTAATATTAAAAACACGACAAAACTACTTTTTGAGCCCTGAAGAAGAATTTAATTTGATTCGAAACGTCGGCAAGAAAACATTTTTTTTTTTAATTGATTCTGTTACCCAACCAACCTTTTTTTAGATTAGTAAATGTGATGAGGCAAAGGACGAAATAGCAGATACTACATTATTGGAATGTGTCCTGTTTTGTATCATTGGTGATGGCCGTATAGCTTCGTTCTAATTAATAGGAACTAAATTATGCAGACGTTGTTGAAATACATTATCTTTTATTAGCCATCGCATATGAGTGCAATCAGTGTCTGCATTGGCTCATAAGACAATGTATCCCAACAATGTGTACTCTCGTTTGCATTGGGTTTAATCGGCTTTGATAATGTCTACCACAGTTGTAGTTGGAACGGAAAATAGCTTGGATGTGAAAGTTATCACTCTTCAATTGAATGTAGTTCGGGTTAAAATGAATAAAAATGGGTATTGGTTTCGGGAACCTGAATTTTTGGCATTGCTGTCCTTCAATATATCTCTCTTAGAAAAACTGGAGTGTTATTGAACTATATAAAGTTACCTAACTCAGTCATGTGTATATTACCTTGCTCATAGCAATGAAAATCATTGATATTCCTAAGAGCATTTGTCTTGAATACTTCATTTTCTAGGGTAATTCATGAGAGTCATCAAAATAAGTGTTTTTGTTCCAGAACTGACAATTGAATTACCTACCACATAGATCAAGTGAAAAATTGCTTTTGGGAACATCCACTCTTTGAAATAGATAAGCTGATAAAAGTATCACATTTGAATTGTGATAAACAGAAACTGATGTACATACTGAGAGCTCAATGTTGATAATGACTTTATTTCCATTCATTATTTCTGTTATTTTTTTCAAGCTCGTTTATGTTCTGCGTTTTAAGTATATTGTTGAGGATCAGTATGGCAGTTTTGGCCACTCTGTTCCAACCGATTGGTAGTAAAATTACCTCTCTTCTAATGAAAACAGAAAATGAATAGGTTTCTAAACTTTATTTTGGTAACCTTCATATGTATGTTTTACACGATAAATTTTGATTCAGTATTATGATCTTATATGTATTACTTTATTTTTACAACTTTGTGCAATTTGACGTTAGGGCGAGTAGATAATATATGCTGGGGAAGGCAAGTATAGCCAAGTTCTGGCTAAAACTCAACGAGTTACATAGGATTGGGCAAAAAAGAAATTTTGTAATATGTGGAGGAACAAACGTCAAACATGTTCTCGGACAACATGACACTGAAATACATGTTGGCCATGAACTCTGTAGTTGAAACTGGAGAATGAAAACAGTCATTTTGAGAACAGGCTTGGCCTGGTATACAGACGGATCAAAAACCTAACATGGAATGGGAGCTGGAATTTACTGGGAGAAATCTTCATTTCAGTTACCCGCTCAGTCAGTACACATCAGTCTTCCAGGCTAAGGTGTACACAATATTTCAATGTGCAAGGAACATTATTTACAGGCAACAAGGCTGCACTTGTGACGCTGACACACCCAAAAGTGACATCAAGACTGGTCTGGGATTGCCGTGAAAAAACTGAGGAACCTTGGAGGCAGGAATAGATTGACTATATACAAGGTGCCAGGACACTCGGCATCGCAGGAAACAAAAGAGCCGATGAGTTATGGATCATCGACTCCATATTATGCTTTCAACCAGCTGTGGTGGTATCAAAGTTTTTTGTGCTGAACCAGATGGGTAATTGGGTCTATGGATACATAAAGAATACTGGGAAAATACACCGGAACACGCACGGGAAAACCTTCATAAAGGGATCATCCGAGAAGTGAAGGACCACTTCAACAAAGCAGGGATCGGCTCAGAATAATTACAAGCCTACTCACTGGATACTGTCCATTGAGAGGACACCTGAACAAAAAAGGGCTGTACATCGGAGACCTTAGCAGTAGGCAATACAACATATCATTGATTGACACTTTGTTATTATAACTCAAAGCTAATTTTTTTTCCGGATTCTGATAAAGATGTACAACTTCTTACTGTCAACGAAGATATGCATTGGCAGCTGATGTTTTGGCATCTAAAATAAAAAACTGACAAATGTGCTGTGTGCGAAGCAATATATTGGATTATTGACTTTTCTCAGCTTTCAAATTTGACTTAATTTCTGCAAAATCTACGAAAAACATTATATTTCATAAACTTATCGAGACTTTTCTCCCATCTTTTCACGGCAGCCATGAAAAATACCAACTTATACAGGTACTTTGATAAATGTTTGTAATTTTTTTTCTGGACTTAGATTTGATTAACTTTATTTGTCTAGGTAGAGACTAGATGATGATAGCACGACCAGCTGTCAAAAGCGCTCGCATATAATTAAATAGGAATTATAAAGCTTCAAATCCTTTTCGAGACTTATATTAATATTAAAAAAAAAAAAACAATGTTCTATTCGAATCCAAATTTGGGATCAATGTGTTTTCAAACCATTTATCAAAAATATTAGCTTCCATGTTCTTATGATAGTCAACATTGCAGTCCTCAATTTTAATCTGAACCCACTCAGGTGTCACGAACAGAACCTGCGAAATACCGAATAAAGACTTGTCATGGTAATAAGAGGCTCTGCCGCTAGGACATCCTTTCCTTAGCTACTGAGTCGGACGACGATTAAGCAAACCCATCTGTTTTTCCTGTTACACTGGATCAAGAGCTAGAACTTATCCAAATCTTGCCCTGTTAACAAACCTAGAGGGCTAGGTGGTGCAACTAAGAAACAACTCATCACCTTTTCATGATCAGGATATCTTATAAATCTGCCTTGCACCAAATTTTTGAGCAGCGTGAGCAGAGTCTGCATCAAGAGAGAGAACAGACTTTCCCTGAACAGGTCAGCAAACGCTAATGCTCAAACGATGATTTACCCAAACCGGAGGTAAAAAAACCCTTCGTGGCTGAATCAAATGTATCGTCAGATACAGTTGACTCGCGGATGCCCTCAGATGGCAAGGTCACTGTGATCATTAAGTTGAGAATCTTGCATCTTAAACATCTGGCAACCTCAATATCAACCATTCAAATGGAATAATTTCAGTATGCCATTATGGCTAACATAAAGGATATTTCAGAAAATGGTTCACAAGTATGATTCTAGAGCTGCACATTCCAACCTGAATGGGATACAGGTTACCGGAAAGAATCAGAAGAGCGCCTCATGGCTGATGGGTGAAGTTAGTCACAGGAGAGCTACTTCTCAAAAGCCACACATGTGTTGCTCACTTACCTTGACAAAGGTAGTTGTAGACTGGCCGCCAATTAGGTCCTCAGTTCATTGAAGAAAATTTACTATGTTTTGTCAACCTTGAAGTGGATTATTTTTCGCAAGGAAATTATGGTATCAGATCACATACTCTGTGTCTGCCCTGTCACAAACCGGATCATGTTTTCATCGTTTGTCAGAGTCTCTATCTTACCGGTTGGCCTGAAAAATCGTTTGCCAAATAAAGTCATCTTAAGATGCTGGGTTTATTTGGTCAAGTTTGAATAGATGCCACAATAAAGCCAGTCGAGTTGCAGTG